CCCCCCACCCCCAGTGCTGCTCCGCCCTCACTCTGAAGGCTGGGATTCTGTTTGCATCAGACCGCGGGCATCTCGTGGGCAGGGCTAGGTTTTGTTTTGGGGGGAAGATCCCCAGCACCGGGTGCACTGGGGCAGTTGTGGGGGCACCTGAACTGTTTGTGGAAAGGGTAAGGCAGTGGCAGGCGACTCCCCTGGCCAGGCTGAATCCTCCTCCGGGTCCCAGGCAACCCCACCCCCCACCCCCCCACCCCCAGCAGGATGCAAACAGACCACAGAGGCTGAGAGTGGGGATCAGGGAGCTCTGAGCTGCTCTGAGTCCCAGCCCCCAGTCCCCACTGTCTCTGCTCTCAAAGCCCCATCCCCTGCTGCACCCCTAGACTGACCTCCCACCTCAGGGGCCACGTGGGAGCCCCCGGAAGAAGTTCCTCCAGGGCTCTCTTTGGGCCCAGCGTTCAAGAGGAGGTCAAATGAGGACGTTAACTGTGTGGCCCTGGGCCCGGCAGCCTGGGTGTGGAAGGGAACCTGCTGCTCAGGCCGCGGTGCATCCCGGGGAGTCACTCTCTGGGCCCAGCTTCCTCATCTGTAAAGGGAGGGAACAGAGCCTGTTCCATAAGAGAGTCAGCCGTGGAGACTGGCCGTGTCTACTCATAATGAGATCCCCGTCAGCCTCCAGCACGTAGGGCATGCTTGGTGGGCTCTGTTGGTTTTTCCCCTGCACAGCTGGTCTCCTGAACCTCCCTTCCCCTCAGCTGTAGCTCCGCCCCCCCCCCACACACACACACACACTCCCTGTGGGGTTCCCACCGCTGGACAGTCCACACTGCCCAGCAGACTGAGTGAAGGGCCTGGGAGAAGATGGCTCTGTCTATCACCTGGGGCCCAGGGTGGGGCTGCCAGGACCCCAGCGTGGGTGGCTCCAGTCCCAGCTCCCCCCTGACCCCCTGCCACCTCAGCTCATTCCCCTGTCAGCTGAGCTTCCAGACACATCTGCAGACCCTGGGCCGTGCCGTCGTCCCGGCGGCAGCGGGAAGGACTGTGGGGCAGTGTTTCGCATGCACATACCTCTGGCTTCCATTCCTCCATCACAGGACTTACACTCCAGGGCTTGAGTCCTAGACAGCCACTTGTAAACGGAGGGCAGGAGAAGGGCAGTGGCTGGGACAAGGAGGAGCCCAGGAGAGGGCACGGGACCTGAGGTCGGCTGCTCCCTCACCATGTGGTCTCTCACTCCCCTTTCCCTTAGCACTTGTGTCCCAGGGACAGCCCAGACTGAGTGATCGCCGTTTTTATTGAGCGTTTACTAGGGGCCAGGCACCGTGCCAGTGGCTCTGCACTCACTGCTTCCGGTGCTCTCCACACCCTGCAGGGGAGATACTATTCATCACCACTTACCAGTGAGGAGACCGGGCCCAGATGCTCTACCTGAGTCCCACCCCTGTCCATGAGGGACCCCATGCCCAGGGACCCTGCAGCTCCCTCTCCCTCCTTCCCTGTGTCACCCTCCCGGGTAGCAGCCCCAGACACTCCTGACTGGCTCGTCCCTCCCTCCTGCATCTGAACAGTTGGCAGAGGTGCCCCACCAGCAGCTGGGGAGGAGGGCTGCACACCAGGACGCCGCCAGCAAGGGCACTGAATCTTCTCTTGGACCCTCCTCCTCGCAGAACCTTCCAAGAGGGCAGGTGCCCAGCGCTGTGAGTGCCCGTGTGGGGTCCTCCAGGGAGGACAGGGATGGATGTCTCTGTGAGATGCTCAGGAAATTGTCCCCACCTTCCCACCTGCTGAGCCGCTGGCTGGGGGGGAGGGAGGGGCGGGGAAGGGGGGCGGCGGCTCCTCCAGGCCTTACTGCAGAGTCTGCTGGCCTTCAGGAGATGGCCATCCTGTGGGCTCTAGCCCTCTGGTCCCTTTGAAGATGGGAAAGTCGGGTTGGAGAAAAGTGGTCGTTTTTCTGCAAGTAGGTCTCCAACTCCAGTCCCTGAGCAGGGAAGAGGCAACACCTACGACCCCCAAGGGCCCTTGCACGGTTTACACTGAAGCGCTGAGTTCATCCTGGGCACCACGGGACTGCACGTAACGCATCCGCCGCTCCCTCCTCGCCCTCCGCTGGCATCGTGTATGCTCCCTCCACACTTAACCCGTCGGTGCTGGGCAGCAGATGCCCTGCCTCCGGGATGTCCTCACAGCCTGCTCACCTCCACGCCCAGGTCTGTGCTGGTCGGGCAGTCGGTCCGTGGCAAGCTCTCAACTCTCCTTTGCGTCCCTCTGTCCAGAAGGCAGTCTCCTCACAGCACGGCTTCCCGGCTCCCTGAGACAAATGAGTTTGTCATGTAAGACAAGCACCCAAAGATGGCCCGGCCTCGCCTGCAAATCAGTCATCCCTGTGCCGGGAGACACCAAGGATGCTCGCTCAGATCTCGGGCCCCTGCCAGTTACTGCGGGGAATGCATTGCCCGCCTCGAGCGTGATTGGAAAGGCCTGACGCGCACAGGGAGCCGGGCACGGGGGACCAGGGGGCTGTCCGTGGTCCTGTTCTATTTACTCGACCCACCTCCCCAAACCTCCTGCGCTCAGCGAAATGCAGCTAGAAGGGACCGCCCAGATCAGCTAGGTCCCAGGTCACTCGTTCAGAGGTAAAGACACTGTTGCTCAGAACATCTAAGTGACCTAAAGGCAGTAATGAGACCATTGCACACAGGGCACACTCCACCCACGTCTACGTATGGGTGGAATGACCCTGCAGCCCAGTCACTCATATACCTCAAGACACCTGCCTGTCTGCACCCATGTTCCCTACACGTCTGTTCCCTCCTCACACTATATGGGGATAGAAACCCCAAGCCTTCTAGCCCCCCTCTTCCTTCCCCAGGAAGGGAGCCCTCCTGGTCCCAGCAGCTGCTAAAACCACAGCTATTGCGCACGCACCCCCTCGTGGCCAAGTGTGGAAGTGCATGCCCCCAAAAGTTCCTGTGGAGCCAGATTGATAACCCTTGGGTTGGACCTGGTCCCTAGGCCTTGGCGCCTCTCTCACAGCCGAAGCCCAGGCCGCTGTGGCTGTGAGTGGCGGCCCTGGAGACAGAATGTGTGGGCTCCGAGCCCAGCTCTGCCATTTTAAACCCTGTTTTCTTGGACTGAGGACTTAACCTCTTCGTGTCTCCGATTTCTCATCCGCCCGATGAAGGAAAATTGTCCCCACGATGTAAGGTTGTTGTGAGAATTAAATGAGCTATTACATGAACAGGGATTACGCCCTGTTACCAGCACCGAGACCCAGGCTGCGTGCTCAATACACAGTGAACTCCCTCCAGGGGGAGATCAGCACCAGCAGGGTGGACAGCGCCCTCCCTGGACTCAGCCAGAAGGAGAGGAATTCCTATGTAGGGGCTCATGAGTGGTGGCTCCCTGTCCTTGCGCCTGGCTTCATCACAGAAGCCAGCACCCCAGAAATCCCTGGGCTCAGATCAGGTACAGGGCTGCTTAGAACCGTGGCTAAGATCATAACCTACGGAGCCAGCTTCTCTCTGACTGTGGGGCCTTGAGCTAGTCACTTAACTGCTCTGTGCCTCCGTTTCCCCTCTTGTAAAAACGGGATTCTGGTGGCACCTGTATCATTGAGCTGTTCCGGGGACAGCTCTACCTTTCCAAGCGGCTGGGATTGTGCCTCCCCTCCCTCCCCTCCTTTCTCCCTTCTTCTCTTCTCTCCGTCATTCCTCCTCGTCCAGCTGGCGAGATACACAAATGACTCACCGCTCTGTGGCCGGGAGTCTGTGGAAAGTCTTCCCATGTAATCAGTGGAAAAGCACATCTTCCTCTGTCTACGGAAGTCCCCTGCCCCAGTTCATAGCCAACTCATCGACTGGGCTGGTCTGTCCTGAGATGGGTGGTTTCCCAGACGAAAGGGAAAGGAGCTGGTTTGGAGAACCAGTCTCCGCGCTTAGGAAAACACGCCTGTAGCTGCGATCTAGAGGATTATCTAGAGATATGATCGGAGAAGGCTTAAGGGGGTGGAGGGGGCTGCAAATACAGGCACTCTTTCCCTGTGCTCATGAGAAGCATCGAGTTTCCAGGGTGTAGCAGCTGAGAGTGTGAAAAAGAGTGTTAACTTACTTAATAGTTTGTTACATATCAAGTCTAAAGAGCCAATTATGTAAAAAAAAAAATTTAACGCATCCATTTCAATAACATTAAAATCTATGTGAGCCAAAAAAAGCTTCGGTTGTGTTATATATATATATTTTTTATTACTGTAACTGGTATTCGAGAAACTAAAGTTCCAGCCTCTCCCTCCATGATGGTCAGACCATCTTTCAGCAAGTCATTCATTTCTCCATTGAGTGCACCATCAAGTACCATGTGCCTTCTTCATTCATTTCTCCATCCAGCACACGCCATTGAGTACCATGTGGGGAGCATGCCATGGAGTGCCATGTGCCTTCATCCATTTCTCCACTCAGCACACGCCATCCATCGAGTACCATGTGGGGAGCATGCCATTGAGCACCCTATGGGGCACTGGAGAGCTACAGCAGGATGGCTACATCCTCACCGAGCCCTGGTCCCACTCCTCCCCTGGGGGAGACAGATAGTAACCAAACACGCTCACACCAATATGGAAATTACAAATGGCAGTGCACACTGTGAAGGAAGAAGGGTGAGCAACCCACTGAAATCAGGGGTCAGGAGACTCCCAGCGAGAGGGAGTCACTCTGTCCCGAGTCCCCGTGTGCAGACGGGGAGATGGAGTCCCAGGGTGTGAGAGAGATGGCGTTCCAAAGCCCCAGCTCTCTCCACTCGCTCAATGTGTTACTTGCTTAACTGCGTCATCTTCACAAACACGGGCTGAGCTAGGTTATTTCTAAGGTCTTTCTACCTCTAACAGTCCATTAGCTCATTCAATTAAATCACTCAAATAGGCACCCTTTGAATATGTCTGTCTTTCCAATTCTGTTATGAATCATTGATGAAAACCAATTGTAATAATTCCATTGGGGGAATTATTTTATCCCATCCCCCCCTTTTAAAATGTCTCGTTATCTCTGAACACGACTGTTTTTCCTACATAACATAATTTCTCTCTGAAATGGAGCTACGTGTTAACACGTACAGACACAAAACGATTGATTGCAGGCCCGAGAGGGGAAGGGGTAGTCTGGCCAGGTGATTCCTGCTTGTTCTAATAGCCATGTAATCAGAATCTACACACAGAAGACATTTTCTGAAATCGTCTAAAATAACCTATGTTTCATTAGATGGCAGTGTCAACAGAACACAGTCTTGTCACAGAATATGTTCTCTGCAATCTGCAATTAATTAAGCAAAGGGACAAATTGTACTTAAAGGTCTGTTGAAAGGATATCAACACCATTATTTTTCTAATACAAAGTGCTTTTCCCATGATGCATGTGACCCCTCTGTTTCCCCCTCTGGAGTACTTGATTGCAAAGAAATTCTTAAAATAGGCAGAGCCCTCATCACAGAGCGTTCGTTATCTCTGGAATGTGTCTCGGGTCCCTGAATTCCATCCACCTCCTTTCGCTGACTGCTCTCTGAGATTGCGCCCGTGTGGTGTCACGCTGTCTGGCGAAGGCTTTGTGCTAAGTTGAGCAGCTCACCTCTTTCTTCCTCCCTCCCTCTCTTCTTCTTTTCCTTCTATCCCTTCATCCTGCTGTCCCTGTCTCCTTCCCACCCAAAATGTGGAAAGGCCTCAACATTGCTGGCTGAAGTGGACGTAGGGAACTTGAGGGACCCTGAGCATCCTCACCCATCCCTGGCCCACTCAGAGCTAGCAAAGCAGCTATAGATTCAGGGCAACTCTGGGGCCCCCACTGACCAAAACAATAGGGCAGCCACTGCAGATGGGAGCCTTCCTCACCGTTGCACGGTGCAGGGGACAGTGCGATGCCCTCTCATGGCTCCAGCTGGGAATTCAATCCACACCTGCTGGCTGACAATTATGGAATCTGAGTCTGGCTCCACTGTGTTGAGCTGGCTGAGGAGGAACTATTCATTCAAGTGGAAATAAGGGCTCTGCAGGCTTTCACCCTTCTGCGGTAGAGTGCATTCTCATCTCTGCCGCCAGGGGGAACCCTTGCAAACAGGCTTCCAGTGTGTCCGCCCCCAATGGCTCCCACCTCCTATGTTTGTTGAATGAACAAATTAACAGAGATGTTTTTGCAAATAAAATACAATTATGTTACTTAAGAATTCCATTTGTCCCAAGCTTTGCAGATGCACAGCTGTCTGAACGGTTGGTGTTTCAATTACATCCCGCTTTCTCTGTGCGGCCTTTACGAAGTGGACAGCGGCAGGAATAGAAGGAAGCTAATCAGGGCAGGAAGCGAAATAGGATTATCCGAGCAGATGTTGACCCTCGGGGATAAGGTGGTTAGCACTACCCAGGACCGGGGAAGAGGCAGCGTGGTCCAGCCAGATGACCAAGGTCCTGGGACACACCCCCAACTTGGAACCTTAGCTCTGTCCCTCACGATCTCTGTGACCTTGGCAAGAATCCGATTCTTCATCTGTTACGTGAGAAATGCAATGTCCACCTCTGAGCATATGAGGCTCATGAGTGATGGTGTGCACATGTCAGCGGGCCACTCAGTAGGGTCACTCTAAGTTCAGGTGATGCTCTTGACTTTGAATCTTCGATCGCTGTGCCCATGAGGTGGAGATGGGGGAGTTGGCTTTAGGAATCAGCTCCCGACTTGGAATCTCAGTGCCATGCGTAGTGGAAGACGGGACGCGACCTGGCTCCCATCCAAACCCCATGGCCCAGTATTCATCCAGACTCAGTGTGAAGCCTGATCCAAGCTCTGAAACAATATTTAATATCAGCCCCTGGTGCCGTGAGTTCCGCCTAATCCGTTTTCAGATTTGCTGAAGCTTTCTTTCCTATTTTATCAGCAATTATTTCGAATGACATTGGCAGCAGACAATCAGATTACCAAATCGTTGACTCTCACATCCTGGTGGACGGTGAGAAGCAAATGTGGTTTTGGGCCAGTTACCTGTCAGCTACTCGGTGTTGGCTCAGGGAAAAGCCGCTTTGGCCTGGAGAGACGGGGGAGGATCTGAGCTGATGAGAACCGTGGAGTCGAGCTCTTGCTACAGGCATTCTTTCTGTTTGCAAGACAGGACTCAAAGAGTTTTTAGAAATCAGCTCCTTGCCCAGCTGGCATGGCTCAGTGGTTGAGCGGCGACCCATGAACCAGGAGGTCATGGTTGTAGGCTGGATCCCCACTAGGAGGGAAGGGGGGTGTAGGAGGCAGCCAATCAATCATTCTCTT